TTATATTATTATTTATTCATTTTATTATTGTAATGTTGTATAATGATGCGATCCGGTACAAATATTTTATTAAAAAAGTTGAGGACGTCGCTAAAAATTATAGCATGATTTACGCAACAAAAAGTGATAATTTAAGATCCCTAGTACACGGATAACAAATAATCGTAAAAAAAATTATGTAAGATTTACCTAACAGAACTTAATCTATGCAAACAGAATTTTGGCTAATCTTCTTCCGACAGATGTAAGATATATAAATCTTTTAAACCACAGGCGGGTCTACGAGAGAGACTTTCGGGCTGAAGCCCCCCTTCCTCCCAAAATGGGAAAATATATCCATGTAAAAAAAAACATAAAAAAATTATTTATAAAAAGTATTATTGTTCGTTAATTACATTTAATAGGACCTTAAGAATCACTTAAAGGCTATTTCTTATAGATAATTAGTTTCTTTCTTTTTCTTCCAAAATGATTATATATGTATATATATATTTATATATCAAAACTTTCGGGCTCAAGCTCCCCAAAATTAATTCCTGGATCCCCTAATCTTTTTAAGCTAATTAATATCAACCTAAAACACGGGAAACAATCCTTGAAAATACAGTATCTTAATGTTTTTCACTAAAAACATAAAACTATTTTCAAACACTAATAAATATGAATGCGACTCAACATTTCTAGAAAGAGATAAGACCTTGCCATCATGGTTATAGTTGGACCTCATTCGTATACGTATTTCCCCACAACCTTAATTTCCTTTCCGTAGACCACATAATTACTCCCACCCCCTAATTCATTTATGTTATCTTATTTCCTTAGTTAACGTTCCTTATGATATTTCCCTAGTTATCGTTACTATAGTTACGCCAAAACATTTTTTGGAATCTATCAATTGTATGAATCTATCACGGAAGGACAGCGATTTAGGTGATATTGCTTAGCTTCGGATCGTTTCATTAATATTTTAATTGGAGTTTAACACTGCCAGAAAGTCACAAAACACGTGAAAAATAAAAAAAATAATAAGGAAATGTAAGCCTACGGAATTGTTGAATTTTTTATTTATTTAATGAAATTAACAACTGTATAAACAATACAACTAGTAATAATGCACACATTATAAATAATGACATAAACAGACTTGAAGAGATACTGCCCAGTGGTAGCACTCCCTATTTAATTCTAGTTGAGAAGATCACGAGGCCATCTTCTTTTCAGACGTCTAGGGGGAATTTCAGGAATCAAGGAAGAAGCAAGGCTGGAAACAAGTAGATCTGGATGGGATTGAAGTTTATCATGAAAGGAGAGGTATCTGGCTCGGGCTAAATCAGCGGCATATGGAACATTAAGGTCTTTATGAATGGTTTTATTTGTGACATAATATGGGGCATTAAGGATTTTACGAAGGATTAGGGATTGTAAAGATTGGATACAATAGGAATTCGATGGTTTGGTAGAGCCCCTAAGCTCTTTGTTGAATTTAAAAAGAAAAATGAACATGGATAAAACGTTAACTGAATATAAATATGCAAAGTAAATTAGCAAATAACAAAACTAGATCCAGCGACCCCAAATGCAAATGAAACCGATGATCCATCGGTGATTTTATCTATGTATAAAGGAACACGTTGAATTCCCGCGATGAGTTTAAGCTTAAGAAAATCCATCCGTCAGATGGATTTTCGATGCCATCACCGAGTTCAGTGCTGAATTTACGAACTTGCCTAATATACCAAAATAAATTACCTATTATTTGCAAACAAGAGCGGAAACGTTTTTGATACCGCCCACAGAAATGTGTGATAATACTGTCCCTTTCTTCCGGTCTTATCTTAGCAGGACCGGAAATAGGAAATCTGCCAAGAGGGAATAGCATATTTTCTCCGCCCTCCAATAAAAATAATTTTATATCAGTATTTTAGGTAAGGTGAACGCACCAGTTACGGACAGATTACTTTAAATGTAAATAATAAACTTCCGTTTTTTCTAGATTGTAGAACAATGCCCTCTATTGACAACTGTATGAACAAAGTTCCCAACAGAAAATATTAAAATGACTATCATTGTTGTTTCTATAGTACTCTTGAAATCAGTTTGTTTCATAAATTCCTACTAACAGTTTTGCTAAGAGTAAGTCGAACATTTATGTTCTCTAATCTTTACAGTTAAATAACAATTTTAGAATTTTTTTGAGGTATGTCTATTACTGATATCGACCCCTTGTCCATCACTAGAACAATTGAATTTCGGTTTGTCCATCAACAGTGCAAAAAGGTGTTTTTTTAAAAATGGAGTTTATAACTGGAAGGAGACCCTATCTATCTATCTATCTATAACGAAGAAGTTTATGAATATAATAATTACGGCGGTATAAGCCAAAAATTTACCTTAGCTATGTCCATCACTGGTGTGCTTACCCTAATTTATTCTGAAATAAATATTATCAGATAATATTATACTCGTGTTATTCTATTCAAATATAAAAATGATGAATCTTCATTGTTTACCACGGTTGTTAAAATAACAATTAACAATCACCTAATAATCAGTTTATTCCACTGGAAAATATCTCTCCTTAATAGTCAAGCAATACATATCCCTGGATTTGATGTCATTCCATTATTGTACTTGCTGAAGACTTATTTATTTAGTTCAGAAGTGCACTGGTTTGTAATCCTCTCTCTTATATAAATATATACTATCATATTAACATATATAACATATATCCTCATCTATATGGAACTCCATTCCTTCCCACATCCGTCAATCCAATGCCCTTTCTACCTTTAAATTCCGCCTGTTCAATCATTTCTTATCCATCCAGTCCCCATAAAATTGTAAAAAAGATACTACTGAAAATATGGATATAAGTTATTAGTTCGTTCTTCATTATTTTTACATAATTTTTTTTTATCAATTTTTTATTTTTTTATTATTACCTGATCAAAATTAGAAAGTAACTTATATATTTATTATATACTTACATATATATATATATATATATATATATAAGTATAGGTTCCTTAGCCAACATTTCTGTCTTGCTGTATTATTCTAAAGGGACTCGTTCCAGAATAAATAAAGTAATATTAATATTATACAAATATAAACAATTGCCCAATTTCCTGCAAAAAAGTAGGAAATTTAAGATTTGTGTTCATTTAAGAGAGTCACGTTTTTTGTTGAATAGGAAGCGAAAGCATAAAAAATATTTGATTTAAGTAACTAAACATTGCTCAATAGTAAACTAGACAAAATTTACTTTAAATGTAAGTAGAGTTTGTCATTCTTAAAACTATTTAAAGAGGACTATTGGACCGACAAACATTAAGGGTTAGAAACATTAAATTTATCACTTATAAATACACTTTAAAGTGACTGAATAGGGTAACATAATTTCTTTACAATTTTTCCGCAATAAACCTCAATTTAATTAATATATACTTTAAGCTTATTAAACGAGGAAGTTTTTGTAAAAGTGGGATTAATGTCGTACAGTTAAAGGGTGGTAAAAAAAAGCACAAATAATTTATAACTTTTTTTTAAACGAGACTTAGCTCTGTTTGTCTGCCCAATGGTTCTCATTAAATCGTTTTAAGAATGACAAATTCTACGTTCGTTTAAAGTAAATTTTGTATAGTCTACTATGGAGCAATGTTTGATTATTTAAATGAAATATTTTTTATGTTATCGCTTCCTACTCAACAAAAACCGTGACTCGGTTAAAAAATCTCAAATATTTAAAGGAAGGAGATGTTCCGGGGTGGCGGTCATAAATAGACTAAATAGTGGTAAAACTATTTTATTAAAAGCCAACGTTTCAACCCGACTTTGCAGGTCTTCTTCAGGGCTAGAACGGACAAGATACAAAAATATAGAGAATTGTGGAAGTTACATAATATTTAGACAAAAAATTATAAACAATGTGAATACGCTTATTAAAATTATAAACAGTAAATGCATTAAAATATAAACAGAGTAAGCTAAATAACAAGATCCTAAACTGAAGTAAATAGATCGTAACAATTGTTGTAGTGTAATATATGCAAACCTGAATATACTTCTACATATCTACAGGAGAGATTGGAAGAAAAGGAAAAAGGATAAAATATGAAATAATAGACATAAAGGAATGTGGAGAAAGAAAACGAAAAAAGTAAATAAATAAGTAAATAAAATTAGAAGAATAAAATTAGAGACTTACAGGTGTGTTCAGCTAGTGTTTTTCACTTAGAACTGAAAAACCAGAGTAAGGGCAAGTATTGGGGACTTTGCTGACTTGTTTGGGTAATGAGGAAAAACCTAGAAAATTACAGTATCTAAAATTTGAAGATATGAATAGATACAAGGGAAAAAATACTATATCTATGAAATATTAAATTATAAATATATGCATATACATATAAAATAGAATTAACAGATTATAGATAAGAGTACAATATGAATAAAAACAAAAATGGAAGAAGTAAAACGTAAATTGAAGTAAAATATAAATATAGAAATAAGAGACCATACATTGCAGAACTAACTTGGAAGTATAGAGAGGGAAAAGAAATGAATATTTATAATTATATTTGGTTGTACATATGTAAGAAAATTACATTTAAATATTAAATAATATTGATACATGGTTAAAAAGTAAAGTTAATCCTATTTATGACCGCCACCCCGGACCATCTCGTTCCCTTATAATGCAATGGTCAACTATTAAGTATTTAATTTCCTACTTTTCTGCTGGAAATTGGGCAATTGTTTATATGATTTTTTTAGTAGATTTTGATCTATACTATCAATGATTTAAATATTCCCCTCTACTTACGGGACGTCCTGTATATACTATACATTCTATAGCATTCTCGCGGTTTATAATCGATAGGATATGTTTGAATAGCAGCGTCGTTCTCGATATGTTTTACGGACTACTCAGTTATTCTTACCTAAAATGTAAAAATAGGATACTTGAGTTTCTTTATAATATAATCATTAATTAATTCCAGGTATATCAGAGCCACGTGTCGCAAGAGATGGATCCCCTCTTCCTCTGGAAAGACTGGTGTCGACCCGAGTCCATGCGGACATCTCGAAGAGGCACAACCTCAGGGTCAGCTTCATGTTCCCGGCCTGGGGACAGCTCGTCGATCACGATCTCACTCTTACCGCAGAGACGAAAGGTAATGCGATATAAATTAATGCTACCATTTAATCAATAATAAGTCACGACCAGTACATCCCACTTCAACACCTAATAATGGCTAAGCAAGTCCAGTAAGAAATTCCTTTATCCTTTAGTATATGTTTAACTATTAATGAGCCCTTCACGGAAAGAAGAAGCGAAAAGATAGACGAGATTAGAAGAAAATAATTCTCTACTGTAGAATATGTCCAGTGAGTGATAGGAATGTCAGACAGCAGTTGTGCAATGAGTGGTAAAATGTTGCTGATGCTCAAAGAAACTGCTTCAGATAGAACCATTTTGAAGGAGAAATAGGAATTGGAACAATATTATAAAGAAGAAAGAAATAAAGTAGAGGAGGAAGAGATGATAATATGGTAAACCTTTTTTTTTATCTACCATTGCTGGAAATATTTTTCAAAAACTTCAAAGTATAACCTATATTGCTTTATTTATTTATTCTTCCTTGGAAAATCAAGAAAGAACAATACTTATAAGTCAAAAATTAACTTCATTAAGAGAAAATAAAATATGCTATTCTGCCCGTTTCTCTTCTTCCACAAGTGATGCACTCCACCACTCGTGCATGGTGGAGGAGTTTCATCCACAGTACTCCAGATTTTTTTATTTATATTTGTCTATAGTTATTTCTGAATCTGATTATTTATTGTAAAGTGAGACAGTGCAGTTTCATTTAATAAAACATATTTTAATATGGGTTCAATATATCACACATTATATATAACTGCATTACTTTTACTAAGGCAGTAGAAGGTTTGATACAAAAGAAATGACTAGAACTCTCCCGACATTGACACAAGTTCCACACACACATCAATTTGTTGTACACTGTGAACTTCTTCAGAAAGTTTATAATATTAATCCGAATGTTCATAAATGTCATCTGTACTTGGACCGATTAAAAGAAAATGGGACATAAGTCGCTTTCCAGTGGATACCAGGCCATTGCGGGCTCCACGGAAATAAGGTTTTATAGCAGTTACGGAGGATAACAAACTGGCCAGAATAGGTTCTGGAATGATCCAACCAGATATTCTACAGAGTATGGAATCGTCTAAAAGAATAATAAAACAGACCCTCCAAAGTTCGCTGGAGGAGAAACATGCACAAAAAATTGAAGGGAAGCGATGGAGTGGATTGCTGGAAGAAAGTGCTCGTGGACCAGGATCTCGTGAGACCTCTTTAGCGGGCAATCCGTGGCATGCTTTAGAATGCTTACAGAGCACGATTTACTGGAGAAGCACCTCCACCGCATCGCTATAAAATAAAGCACAACATGTTCTCTGTCTTTGAGACAATGGATTTCAAATAATCACGAGATTGCATCCCGGTGCCAAAAAAAAAGAAAATCTCCTTGGATATTATGTCAGGTGAACATTGATACATGCCCTGCATTACAAGACATAAGATGTACATTTAGTGAAACGGACAACCCTTACACTAAGAGGGCGAAATTATATTGGACTGCTAGATGGCACACCAAACAGAAGTTAATCAGGCTTTGGGGAAAAATTATATATATATATATATATATATATATATATATATATATATATATATATATATATTAAACATTGTCAACTTTAATTTAATATGCCCAAATATTAATAATAAAATAATAAACAAATTCAGTAAAATCTGTAAGGTTAGTACAGCACACCATTTTCATTGTTTACACAATTATCTATCTTTCAATTTTTCAAGGTCTATAATTCTTCGCTAGGAGCAGCAGAGTTTAGCTTTCTTAAAAAAAAAAATGGTGGGATTTTAGTACCCACTTTAAATTACGCAGTTTTTTAAAATTTTATTATACGGAGTTTTTTTCGACCCTGGAGTCAAACTGAAACGATTATGGTAAAAATATATTTCGCCTGAACTCGAATCTGGATCCTAAAATTACTTAAATATTAACAGAGGCAGCTAATAAATTATTGCTTAGTCGCAAATGCAAATTTTTTTTTATTGCTGGCAATAACGAAAAAACAATTACTTTTTAGTTTTCCTTTTTTAGATAAGCAATAAACGATATTTCCAATAACTTTACAACGTTTACAACGGATAAGGTATAAAAAAGACTGAAAAGAAAAAGAAGAGGGTACGGGAGATCTGGTAATAGCCCCGGTCCCTTCCTAGCGGTGTGTAAATCAGGGAAATGCCGAGTCAGCCCTTGGCATCGAATTGAATATTAGACACATCGTGTTGAGATAATGCCCTTAGATTTATCGGATCCGGGGGAAAGAAAACCAGATCCAATTATTGGACCCTACAGAGCTATGTTATACCTTCGTCCCCGTCCTTTAGTCCCTTATATCTCAACGCTGTCCCTCTGGAGTCGTCCCTATACCATCTGAAGATGGTGTGAATATCTTTCGGAAATCCCTCCAAATATATTTAACCCTTCAAACGGCCTCTCGAACTGAATCGAGAGACACAAAGCCTCTTTTTCTGTTACTACCTCATTCACATAGAAAGATTCCGATTGTTCAGAAGAAACGAGAAATACTCGGCCAAACACTTCTAAATTCACATCGTTCGAAACTTAATTAAATTATATACAGAAATTCAACACTTCAAACTTTCCTACATTTTGATATGTGCATAGGCACATGGAGCAGTTAAAATAACTCACTGGTGTCTCGCAAATCTCGATCTTGGCAATAGAGTCTTGCAATTACCTATTAATTTATTGCTATTTATTAAACATGGTACTTTAGTTCTTAGAAAAATGATACAGAATAGGTACCTTTAGGTGTTTTATTGGCATAAACGATTTCTTTTATAGTTTTGTCGGAATAACCTTAAAAACAAAAAAACAAAATTTAAAAATGTTACAGCTACAAACTATAGATATATATATATATATATATATATATATATATATTGGTTATTTTCGAGAATGGAGAAACCTAACTAAACTCCGAATGGAGAATTGGAAGAGTTAAATGCAATACTTTACATTGTAAAGACAACTATTTTGCCATAATTTTTATTAACAAAAACCCTTTTTATATTTATCTATATTTTTATTAATTCTTAATTTTTTTTTTACACCGTTTTTGGTCCTTGGTCTTGCAACAACTAGGCCATCTTGAAAAGTGCAAGACCAAGACCGATTGTGTGCACTATAGCCAACATTAAGCGACTTCCGCTTTTATGGGCAAAAACATTTATGTAATTATGTTCCACTAGTTCGTATTGTGTTGTAATCTTACTCCTTCATTACAATAACGACTAGAAACCGCCCGACGTTTTCGACTACTGCAGCACTTACTAGACAAACACTCTAAACTTCCAAATATTTAAAAAAGACTCATATATATCACTATAATAAGGCCTATTTGGACTTGCGGTGTCGAGCATTGGGGTTCTACTAAACCATCAAATTCCAATCCAATCCCTACAATCCAAAATCCGTCGTAAAATCCCCAATGCTCTCTACTTTGTCACAAATAAAATCATTCATAACGACCTAAATGTACCATGTGTTTCCGATTTAGCTTAATCCAGATACCAATCCTTCCATAATAAATTTCTGAACCATCCGAACCCTCTCGTTTCCAAAATTGCTTCCTCTTCTATTCCTAATAACCCTCCGAGGGGTCTAAAAAGAAGATGGCCTCGAGATCTCATTTTGTGAATACACTTTTAGAGTGCCGCCAGTGGGCAGTTTCTCAACATGTGGTTTCATGTTATTATATTCTTTTGTTCACATTTACTTAATGTATTTTTATTTTTAATACAGTTGTAAATATCATAAATAAAATGGGCATGAAAAATCGCTGGGCTTAGTAATGGAAGAATTCCTAAAAAGTTAATATGTGCTATACTGACTGGCACGTGTCCGAGGGGTGGACCAAAGCGACGGTTGGAAGATTGCGTTAAGGGTCATCTGGCGGGATAGGGTTTAGAGTGAGTCCGGTGGATGGAGTAATGTAGACATAAATTGGTGGTATCGCCATTCTATTGTCGGCTAAGTCTTATTATTATATACATGGAATCAATATGTAGTCTCCATACATATGTGATGTCCCTTTCAGATCCTGAGACGAGGAAGGAACTGGATTGCTGCGAGGGCGGTACAAGCCGACACCCTAACTGCTATCCACTCAAAGTTCCTTACGAAGATCCTTTCTACAAGGACAAGAAGCAGACATGTCTCAACTTGGCGAGGTCCTTAGCGGGAGTTCGTCCTGGCTGTTCTCTAGGTATTTATATATCAATAGATTTTATTATATTATTTATTTAAAATTATCCATTAATAAAAATCAATAGAGACCGGATTTATAAGTATTTACATTTATGTTTCCAGACTAGGTAGAAGCTTCTTCGACAATCTGAAAGAAAAGAAAAATTATTTGCACATATGTATTTATAATTTTGTTTTCTCTGTTGGTTTTACTGATCTTTTACATCTGTTTCCGTCTTAACAAGCCTTCTCTATCTCTGTTTATCTTGGACTATTTCTTTCCAGTTATCTGCACGCAGCTCTGCACCATCTTCGTTGATTGGATCTAACCACGTTATCTCTTGCCTAATGTTGAGGTATACATTGTTCTATAGAGGCTTCCTGATGAATTGTTCCCAGTTATACTTACCTTCCTGTCTTTATATCTTGAGATATTGATTGAGCAGTTTCTGTAGGAAGTTCTTTATTGGCATTTCTCCTCCTTTCGTTCTGATCCCAGATTCGTCCCTGTTTTCCCGCGGAGGATTTTTTTCTCAAATCTTTCAATAATTCTTCCTAGGTTGCTGAATAATGTCCAGATCCCACAACCGTATATCGGAACTGTTCATTCATATGATATCTACAATTTATCCTCTATATTCAGCCAACAAAGAAAATTAATGTTTAAAATAGATACATATACAGATGGAATAACTTTATGTAAAAGAAAAGTTCTTGCACAGATAATGCAATGCATAATTACTAAACTTCATTTTGACAGACTCACACCAAAATCCTGTAAGTACAATTTAATTGGAATGTTCGGTTTTGAGCTTTTTCGGTTAATTTTGGCCTCATATATTTTCATAAAAATAACAACGTTAATTAGAAGATTACAGCTTTGCTTTAAGTATGGAATAAAAAATGAACGGAAAATCTACTTCTAATAAAAAATGTGCGGTTTATTAAGTCATTTTAATAATTTTATGTTTGGCATACATATATGAATAAAAGCAAAGCTTATATAATATAATACAAATACATAGAGAAAAGAAAACTAGAATTTCATAAAATAATTGAAATACTTACCTTATAATATTTTTTTTAAAAAACTGATTGACTTTCACATTGGCACATAAAATAATATATATTATTTAGTTAATTTACACAGTCAACATCGAGAATCACTCTTTTTAACTGGACACAAGCGGAAGTGTAATATTGACTCAGATGTTTTTCTCTATACTCAAAAACTTTGCACAGTGGAGTAGGTTGAGCGTACAGGTAGATCTACAGGGGGACTTTCGGTCTGAAGCCCTCTCCCCAAAAAATAATAAAACATTACTACGTTTTATAGAAAAAATTATTAAAAACTATCTCTTAAAGTATTATTGTTCGTGTAATTACATTTAAGAGGACTTAAAGGATCACTTAAACACCATGTCATATAGTTTCTTTCTCTTTTTTGAAATTAATTATCGTTTTATATATATATATATATATATATATATATATATATATATATATATATATATATATATATATATATATGAAATAAAAATCTTTCGGACTGAAGCCTCCCCAAATTGAATCCTAGAGCCGCTAGTGGTAGAGGGATAGACTATTGGAAATAAATTCGTTAAACCTATTGCATAATTCATTTTTCTTACACGATAAAGTTTTATTTTTAGAATAAAGTTTGTTGTTTCCTAGTCTACTGATTCTCAATAAGCTAGCCTATCATAATTTTTAAAAGTCTGTACAACGAACAGTTTTCTGGATTAAACATCATAGAATTTGATAAAAAAAATATTTAAAATAAAAATAAACTTATTGACCTGCAAGGTTGTGGATCTCTAGCATTCGGATCAAAAATTACACTCATACCTTTTCTGTTATTAATTTACATTCATTGTCGCAATCGATTAACAAAAGAAAGTCAATTAGGAAATGAAGGGTTGGATTTTTTTTTTGTCATGAATAAAATAAAAAAAATTGGCTCACAATGAGAAGAGAAAGGCCGACGGCAAACAGAATACCGAAGCCGTAGCCATGTTGACTTAGAGCGGTATCAATGGGACCAAGAGAGGTATCCCCTAGAATTGAATCGTCGGCTCTAACATGAATATTACACCCCCCCCCCCTCTATCCCCCGACCCCAGTTCTACCAACCCCTTGAAAACCACTCGCTAAAGAAAACAATGCCTCAAATGGAAGAATGTAAATAGAGGAGAAATTAATTTTCTGGTGCGGCGCTCGAACCTCGAGTCTGTTTGCTTTTGAAAATGAAGTGCCAGCGTTGGTTGTCGCTACAGACCTCCCTCCCCCCCTCCAAGTCCCGGGGGAATTCTTCTCGTTAGCCCATTAGCTGCCTTAATATCTTCCTCCTCCTTTTCTTATCTAAATTCAAGTATTAACATGTAGCAAGTTGGTTAGCGTACCAAAGAAACATCCACTGAGAAATCACATTAGATAAGCCATCCTCTTCCCTACTGCATTATGTATTGCATGCACATGTATAAGCGACATCAGGAAAACATGTTTATTCGTATAAAGGGCGCAGGCTTTGGGGAAGCGATGGATTGAACCATCGCCCCCAACAAAAAATGTTAGGATGCGAGAATATCGTTTCTCCACAATATTTCGAGAAACCAAAATAAAATGTAAAAAAAAAAAAAAAACCTAAGGTGTATGTTTTATACCACACGATAGAAGTGAAAACAATGCGAGATTAGTAATATGAAATATAAATTATTAGTCCGTGGTACAGATCCCTTTTTATCAAATTATCAACAACCTCCTTAAACCTCGTGAATTGCTTCATCTCATCGTAACCTCAACTATTTCATTTATGAAAACTCTTGGAATTGCGGCGTTTTCAATCCGGCAAACTTTGTCTATTTAATTATATTTTTATTTATTTATTCAGAAATATTACATTCCGTCATAATCAAGGCCATTTATAATAGTGTTCACAGAGCACACTCACACTATATTTACAATAAATAATACAGAAACAAATAATAATAAAAATAAATGTATATAAACAAAAGAACTAAACTAATCAAAATAACAACTAAAACACATGCTTACTATACAATATTTACAGAATTCATTCACTCAGAAGAACACCGAGCCAAGCCTTTCTCCCCACTCGTGGAAGGAAAGGCAGGACTCTAGGAGATCCTAGCTCCTCGCACTGAGCCGCATTACTGGTATTAAGAAACAGAAGTCTATTTAATTAAGTACTAAAAACTCGTATATACCCGTTTGCTTTTCACTTGGATTGTAAGATAATATGATCACAGAGTCGAAAAAAAAGGTGGCCTACAAAAAAGTTTGGTCGTTTGGACTATACAACCTCGTTATTTTTGAAGGCCACCGTTTTTCTCGAGTTTGTACTGAAATCATCATACGATTCAAGCAAATGGGTATTTATGTATTTTTAATACCTAATTAAATAAACGAAGTTTGACGATCTCCAGATTGAAAACGCCCCAATTCCGAGAAATTTCGTAAACAGAATATTCGTAGGTTACTATGAGATGAATCTATTGACAAATTATCAGATGGAAGTTAATAATTTGATAAAAAGGGGACTGTACCACGGACTATATAAAGGATAGCTCATTATAACGAGGATGAAATGCTGAACTATTCCTTCGCTTACAGTATGCAGATCCGATTTTTAATTTCTGAGATATTTTAATCCGTATCGTCAACAAATCTTGTTATCATTTGTTTTTCGACACTATTTTTTCCTTTTCCACTCTAACATGGCGTAGCGTTAACAATTTAGAATAATAGCTCATTTCAAAAAGGATGGAATGATGAACATTTTCCTAGCTAACTATGCAGTTTCGAGTTTTAGTTTTTGAGATATTTCTACCCATATGCAAAAACACTTCAATAAGACGACTCTAGCCGGCTTTGCCCGAGCGTTACAAATCGGAGATCTGACGGCTCAATCTAATTCGCTCTCCACAAAAGAAAAATGCAAAAAGCGCCATAAGAAGTTTTTACTTAAAAAAATTTACTAAATCAATTCAACACTTGACAATTCGATTATAGACAGCTAAAAAGTCATTTATTACCTATTATCTTGTCAATTATTTATTTTATCTAGCTAGATTGATATATAATTGATAACTTTATCTCCTTAGATAACTAGATCGTTTAATCGCTACGTATACATTTAATTATCCTGATCACAGTAATAATTAATCTTCATATATCAAAATAAATATTATATTATCTGTTACATATCTTAAGAATTACTATTATTAGTAACTATTCAATTTTTCCTAAATCCTTTGTAATATTTCGATAATATCGACTATCGATGGCCATTCCAACTTCAGTCAAATTATTTATCTAAATTTTATATTGCGTTAATGTAAAATATTTTTATTTTATTGGAATTCCGAAGTGAGCTGTTTTAATTTTAATTATTTTAAGCCATAATTTGTCCATATTAAATATTATAGAAAAACTATTATGAAAGAACTATTACAATATCCGAAAATACATTCCATTAACTTATTGTTATATTATTTTTTTATTGTTCACTTATTTATTTGTTGTATGCGAATAGTTCGCACGGGTCAAGTAGTGTCTAATAACATGTTTGTCACCTGTTTGGGTAATGCCTTTACATGAAGTATTTGAAGAAACCATTGCAATAATTCATTTGAATTAAATGCTTTAGATGTCACGTAGACGAATCATGTCCTTACTAATCTAAGAGAATTAACTTATTAAGCGGAAGAGAGAGGACCAAGAGCCATTATCGGAATAGAATTAATCCTGACAGACCCCAGTTGGCAGCCATTGCCTAGAGGAAGTACTTACACTCTGATTGTCCTTTCGCTATAACTCAGTATTAAATCTTACACCTCGCCTCGAGGCTGATCACGTGCTCCGATTGATACTCCATATCAGATTGCTCTTCGGAGTGTCTTCCCAGAACTGCACCTAATTTCCTGTTCGGATCACGGCGATGGGGAGCGAACGTGAAGGGGGGTACATTTGAATATCTACAGCATTACGGATTCAACTCGGAGGGGCCAATAAGAAACCAAATTAGTATCGTTTCTTCTTCTAGAGGATTTAGTTAAAGAAGAAAAAAAAGAGGACGAAAAGATTTCCTGAAAGGTGAGGAGATGATTAGCATTGTTAATTATAAGTAAGACGGGAAGGGCGGAGTGCTTTGAATCCCGAATGAAAAAGTCATCGATTCCGGGATATCCAGAGTATTCCAGTCGATAAAGCCATAGTCCCTGGAGAACAGACTTTCCCGAAGAGGGAGGGGGTGGGTTATAAATAAACGATTAAACGAGCGGGGAGCCAACATGCAAATTCTGGAGCCTGGAATCGGGATCGTGGATCACGGAATAAATCCATAAGTTTAAGAGACGGCGGATCTATTGGAGCTGAAGAGTCGTCTTTTGTTTCAGGGCGACTGGGCACGGTTTCAATAAAGTGTGTTTGTCTTGGAGCGGGGGTCGCATTACGCCCGTTTAACTCGACTAACTCCGACCCCACCCCCCACCTTCGGGGTTCACCTTCCCGGGTCGTAACTCTCCGCTGATTACCGAGCTCAACTTGGAAAGAGTCGCTATTCGGTGACTTTGCGAAGTCTATGGCTTAGAAAGAATTATTACCCTCTTATAATAAGTACAGCAATCCATGAAAAGTAAACATCTACTTATAACAGAGATCTATAAGCAAATGGGACTATCTATCTATATGGTGATAGGGAGGAATATATAGGTTAACTATGCCTCACACTAAAAACATTTTTTGTCGTTCTCAGACCACTATCGTGCGCAACTTCTGACTTGAGAGTAGTGTTGCCGAAATGCGAGACCGAGACAAGTCTTGGTCTTGCAAACTCAGTCTCGGTCATGGTTTTGGTCTTGCGCAAGAGTCTCGCAACAGTCTTGAAGTTACTTATTACTATAGAGATATTATTGTAATTTGTTAGATAGGAGAAACCTAACTAAGTCCCAATGAAAAATTAGAAGAGTTAAATGCAAAAGTATATTGCTTATACCAATTATTTACATATAGTAACTAAGATTGTCAATTATCAGTAACTATTTTGCCTTAATTTTTATTCAAAAAATCGATTTTTTTACCAGTCCTGGTCTTGGTGTTGCAACAGTTAGGCGGCCTTGGTCTTTGCACTTTGCACTTTGCAAGACCAAGACCCGAGTTTGGACAACACTACTCGAGAGTCTGATCTGCTGCCTCTACGCGTTCGCTCTGCAACGGCAATATTTTCCAGACATTTATAGTTAAAATACTTTTTAAATAAGATTTAAAGAAAAATAAAATCTGGTGTGTCCACTCACACGACTTTCCTACGTATTTTAGAAAAGTTTTTATATAATTTCATGAAGAAACAAAAAAAAAAAAAATTAAGCTAGATTTATTTTCCTGAAAATTGATCAAAGAAAATATTCGAGTACGATTTATTTGATAAACTAAAGCAATGTAAACCGGCGCAAGGTAGATCAGTGTAAACATTTCAATACTCTCTAATATTGCTGATAAAAAACTTTTTTCTATAGCTTAGTATTGTCAAACAATAATTTCTGTTAAAAGTAGAAGAAATAGTGAAGCTTGTGTGATGAAGGCAGATTTTCTTACTTTCACTTAGTCATATTTTTTCTCTCATTCATCTCTTTCTGACACCAAGATGTGAACCCGTAATCTTACATTGGAAATTGAATAGCTGCAACTTCGTTAATAGTTGTACTGGATATTTTGGAGTTCTAGCAATGGCCAGATTCTCCACTCAAGTCATGAGTGTCTGTGGCTGTAGCGCTCTTACTCATCCTCCGCTGTTTTTAAATACCAGTGAAGTGGCTGAGGGAGAAGCGTAGGGATCTCCTAAGCCTCCCTTTTCCCTCCACATGGGGACAAGGTTGGTTCGAAGATCACCTGGCTAATTGTAAATAGTTTATATAGGTATGTTTGCATCAAAGATGTTTGTTTTACTTTTATTTCTATTTTTACTTACTTATGTGTATATATATTTTTTTATTTTCTCTTTTGTTCTTTTTTCTTATACTTTTGTTATTACTTTGTTTATTTATATTTCTGTATATACGGTATGAATGCGCCCTCTGAACTCTATTATAAGTGTACTTAACTGTGACAAAATGTAATATTTCTCAATAAATTGTTTAATATATAATAATAGTTGTACAAAATGAACGATTTTTAAATAGTTTTGTAGGGAATTTCATTACTTTTCAGGGGATCTGAAACGTATAGTCCGTCGATTACCGCATATCGGAAATTTCACCCGATTGCAATACTTTCCTTAGCTAGTTTAGGTAGGAAAGTAATAATAATTGTTATTCTGTCGGAAAATTGTATCCTAATCCGGTATTAATGAATAACCGGAAGGGAACAATGAAGAGGAGATTAATCATTGACCTTTTTGAGAGAGCTCTCGAGAGCAATAAAGGACTGACAAATCCTTCTTATCTATTCCCTTCCCACGTCAGTGGAGGGGGGGGAGGGTGTCTTTATTAAAAAAACTTTGACACTTGCAGGAGGGGGGCCAAGACCTGGAGGGAGGACGAACAATGCAAACATTCCGGAGGCGGCGATAATCAAATTGAGTCCAATCAACGTTCCCAGATTTTTCCTTTTTTTCTTTTTTATTTCCAGAAAAAGAGGCAAGTAAATCAGTCGGACTGAGAAGGGGGTGGGGCATAGGACTGAGGACTGAGGACTGAGGACACTCTTAACAGTCGCCATTAAGGCCCGGTCGTTAGACACGTGGCACATAATTAAAAATGAAATCAATTTGTGTCCGGGATTTTGCTTTAATTAACGGGCAGCTAGGGCACAGATGTCTACCGGAAATGGCTGATCTTTAATCATTTCTTTCACTTCATCTGACCTCTCCCTCCTTCCCCGTAGTGCGCCACCTGAGCCCGCAACTTTCTTTCTCAGTTTTTTTTTTATTATAAAAAATGCTGAAGCGGCCATAATGAATACCGATCAGAAAGGCAACTTTTAAAAGTTTTATTGTTTTTTAAATGAGAAGAAAATATCGTCTTCAACTTCTCCCCTCTCGGCGATTAAGAATGAAAAATATTCCAACTGTTATTGAGCAAAAGCGAAATTTCATCGAGTCGTTCAGCTCTTGCTTTCATAATGGCATCTCTTTCGATAAGAAATCAACTATAACTGCTATAACTCGTAATACTATATCTCAACAAGAAATTTCACATTAGATATCTATTCAATAGACTTAACAATGGTAAATAAAATCTTTCGACTGCCGTTGGAAGCTTATGGAGCTAGACTAAGAAGCTTGAGGTGTCAGCACCTATTCGAAACGTAGAGGGTTCCTGGGATGTGTCAGACCTTGAAAAATCTGAACTCTTTGCCAGCCATCTTTCTTCTGTTTTTACACCACATACTGACTTCTCTAATACTGAACACGAAAGTCATGTATTTTAGACGTTCCATTACCATTGTCATTACCTTGCTTTTACACCTTCTCAAGTTAAAAAAGAATTATATAATTACCCAAAAAGAAAGCCCCTGGCCATGACCTAATAAATGCTCAAGTGCTCCAGAGAATGACAAGTGTGACAACTTAACGTCAATATATAACGCAACACTCAGAACGACCACATTTCCCTTACAGTGGAAATATACATACATTACAATGATTCACAAACCAATCAAGAACATCGACTTTCCTTTATAATACAGACCCTTTAGTCTGCCCCAAGTATGTTCTAAAATCTTTGAGAAATTTCTCAACAATAGACTATTTGACATACTGACAAGCGAAAATATAATACCTGAACATTAATTCTGACAGGGGTGAGTGAAAAAATAGGGTACCTTTACCTAAAATTTAAAAAAAAATATACTTATTTTAATGTGTGTTAACAGGGATATCCAGAAAGGGGTATCATGGCGCAAGTCACGCCATCAAAATTTTCGAGGGGGGCACTTCGACAGGTTTATGAATTTTTGGAATGAAAAGATTCAAGCCAATAGGCAAGGGGAAGCATGGAACAGACTGTAGGAAGGGTAATTGTATAAGTTAACTATTGGCTTCGATAAATAGAAAAATGAAGAAACAAATAATAGTTTTTATTTAACAACAAACAGTAGTATCTAACTCAAAAAGGTTATAACAGTCTATATTTTCACATGTGTTTCTTAACATATTTTAACATGTGTTTATTTTAAATTGCAAGAAATAATAATGTGTTGAAACAAATAATATTAAGTCTTAAAAGTCTTATCTATCTCACACCGAACCTTAACTCCCCCCTGCCAGTTTATGAATATTCTTCGTAAACTAATATCTGAATCTTACAGGTAGGTCAAGTCCGGAGTGAAGCGTCATCAGGCTATACTTTTCCATCAATAAAATTTTACATTGGTATTCAATGAGAATTTTGCACTGTGGTTACTTAATTCACTTGATACAAAAGAATGGTTAAGTAATAAAAACAATAAAAAAATCTGCAATAGTGCAAAAATATAACTACGAAAAAAAAAAAATCTTCCTGTCCCACAATGAGGACATTCCATCTATTTATGGTTGCTTTGGCGCACCTTTTGGGGGATCTTTAGTTGTTCGATGTGGACTGTTCTGCGCTTCTTAGGCTCTTTCAAGCTCTCTATAGACACAGTGTTATGTTCACGAATGGCGATCACCCTGAATGGGCCCTCGTACCTCACTAGCTCCTTGCCCCTATTGGACCCTCTCCTCCTGTACACTATCGTTCCAATTTTAATATCACCCAGTACGTCCTTCAGCCCTAAGTTATCTTTTCTTACCCTCCTACGTTTTTCGTTCTCAATTTTACTACGGACTTTCTCCCATCGTTTCACCAATGCTACTCTATTATTAACGACACGTTCCGATAATTCCTCGTCCACTGTCGTACTCGTGCTATCCCTGGGCCGTTCCCGCAGCCCAAATAGGATCTCGAAAGGCGAAAAACCTGTTGCAGTATGAATTG